CAGGCTGCAGAGGGAGGAGGAAAGTAGCCCTGAAGGCAATCCCTTTGCCCACTTCCTGGACCCCAGAAATTCAAAGTGAAGAGGGGGCTGGTGAAGAGGTTCAGAGCCCCCAGGTTTCTCCCCTTTCTCACTCTCAGGAGCAGAGACCCAAGGGAAGACAGCTTTTTCAGGAACTTTTAATAGAGCAATTGCTCATTCACACCTTGCAGCCTCGTGAATCCCATTGACAAAAATACCCAAGGGGGGTGATCCTATTCCTTTGCACCTCATAATCCCTAGACTTCCTGATCTTCCCCAAGGTGTCTCATTCCTATGTTTCCTTGGAGGCTCCCAGAGATCAGAGGTTAGGGACAGAGTTAAGTCCTTGGTGACTTTTGTTGCAGTGTCTGTCACTATGAGACCCAGCTGAGTGCTGACCCCACCAGGGTGGTGGCTATGGTGTCATACCAAGGGCTTTGATGGTGCATGAGGGTGGGCTCTCCAGAGGGACACAACTAATAGGATATGCATGAGAGGGAATTGGCTCATGTGATCACTAAGGTGAAGTCCCACCTTAGTGGACTTGGACTTGGACTGAGCCAGGCTACTAGCCTCTGTGGGAGCCACACGACCAGCCTCTCTGGTCCTCCGGTTTGCACACAGCCTGTCTTGGGACTTCACCTTAGTGATCATGTGAGCCAATTTCCCCTAATAAATTCCCGCTCATGAGGTGTGTCTATCCCCCTGCACTCTTGGCAGGAGGAGAAGGAGAGCTCCATTCAGCCACAGCCACTATCAGAAGCACCTTGGGTGGGAGGGGCACCCAGAACTGGGGGAGCAGGGGGAAGGGGAGGGGAACAGTGTTGCTGGAAGGTCTGGTACCCCCTGGAGCAAGGATGCTGGGCATGCCACGGTCTGCAGGGGTGGGCTGTGGAAAGTGTAGGCAAGGTGACTGTTACCTGCTGCCTTGGACACTTAGGTGACTGGGGGCTGAAATGGGGTGTTGGTTCCAGGAACAGAGTGGGGCTCAGCTGGAGTCCCCCAGAATTTGGTAGGAGGCCACTCACTTAATACCCCTGGGGTGGGGCTTAGGACAGTGGCACTCTGGCCGGGTTTCCTGCATGATCTGGCTTCCTCTGCTATGAGGGGAGCAAGATGGGTCTTCCCTGGGTTGCTGCCTTTTTCTATTCCGCAGGTCTCTGATGCCATTTCCCCAGGGCTCAGCAAGACGGGGCTTAGAGCCAAGACTGAAGCCATCCCTATCCCAGCTCACCCAGGCTAGGGGTGGCTATTTTGGTTGTATCAAGGCTCCTCAGGGCAAATGAGGTTTTCTTGTTCGTCTTCTTTTAAGGCTTACCTATGTACCCTCAAACTCGTGAAGGCGGCAGTGACAGAAAGACTAACATCTATTGATTATAGTGCTCCTTAAGAGTATGGGCTTTGGCCTCACAAAGGCTCTGCCAGTTGTTTATCTGCGTGACCTTGGGCTACCTATGCAACCTCTCTGAGGTTCAGTTTTCTAATATGTAAAATATAGATAATAACACCCACTCCATATGACTGTCGTGATAACTAAATGAGACAATGCATGTCAAGTTTTGCAGAGCTTCTGGCATTAAGTAAGCCCTTGACACATGCAGGGTACTTTGTGTAAATATAGACATTATAGATATAAATGCTTTTTTTTACGTTCATGCTGACTCTGTGAGGTGGGTATTTTAATCTTGAGTCGAGACAGAAAACAGAAGTTTAGAAATGTTAACTCCCTTGTTAAGATCACATAGGCAATATACCAGACAGTAGAGTCAGAAATGGAACCCAGCCTTGACTCCAAGGCCTGGTGTTTACTAAGGCAACAAGTCTCCCACCCTTAGAATTTGGGAAGCCGGTAGGAAACCCTTGGAGCTCTAGTCCCTGGGATATGGAGGGGTTTGTCCCTAGGGCTGATATGGGGTTGGGCAGGCTCTGGAGGGCAACTTTTCTGGGACCTGTGGGACAAGGCATTAGGAGATGTATGGCACCTTGACCATGTGCCATTTAACTCAGGTGACTCAGGCCAGTGGCTCCTGAAGGCCCATCTGATTACAGAAGTGGAGATTACAGGTTTCTTGTAGGGACAGAGAAAGGTACAGGGGAAAGGGGGTACAAGAACATGGCTATATCTCTGTTGTCCCAATGACATGGACATCTTGGCCACCACTGTGACTATGTGAGCCCTGGCTGGTGTTCAGGTTGGAATAGGTACAAGACCAAAGAGCCTTGATCTTTTCTTGATAAGCCAATGATTTGTGAGCATGTTGTTTCCTGACCTAAGTGTGTGTGTGTGTGTGTGTGTGTGTACATGCACCCATACACACACACACACACACACACATACATGTGGGGCAGAGGCGGGGGGAGGGGGCGAGGAGGTGGCCTAAAGGAACAAAAGGGAGAGGATAATGAGAGCTGACAGTCAGATTGAGAAATGCCCCAGTCCATGGATCAAAAAGATGCAGACCTGCCTCATTTGCATATCATTTAAATAGCATTAATTTCATGTCAAAATACGTGGTCCTTCCTTCACTGCTATGTTAAACCACCCCAGGGAGATTTCAGGTCCAGATTCTAGTGCCTGAGACCCAGGCACAGCTACTACACAAGAGACAGATCAATGGAAAGAGAAGTCTTGGGGCAGGAGCTGGGTCTGGTTCTGTGTCAGCCACTAACACATTGAGAGTGAATTCCTGTCTTCCCCTCTTAGCTGGAAGACCCACAAGAGAAGAATATCCTAAGCACTGAGCACAAAAATATTTTTTGAATAAATGAATTCTATTTGAATAAATGAAAATGACTCTGGGCAAATTACCTTCCCTTCTTGGACACTGGGGAGAAGATGAGGGGTCTAAGTTTGACCAATAGTTTTAATTTGGGGGGCTATGGATAACTGTGAACATTCTTCACAGAAAAATGACCATGCCACAATGTGTCATCCACAATTTCAGGAGGTTTCTAGACCCTCTGGAATTAACTCTTATATCCCTTGGCCCATGTTAGGAACCCCTGGACCAGAAAAGGTTGAAAATCCTTCAACTTTTACATCGTGGATATCCTGCCCCACGTGGATCTTTAGGGTATGGGAATCCAAGAGAGAGGACACATTCACATGTTTTTATTAGGCTCCTACTATGCATCAGGCACTCATTTAATCTTCACAGGATAAGACAGGCAACGTGATTCGCTTTATAGAAATGAGGAAATTAAGGCTCAAAGAGAGTATGCCCCAGGGTCACAGAGCTGGTGAGTAACAGAGCTGGGATTCGACCCAAGCCTTTGGCTCTAGGGCCGTTCTCTTTCTCCAGGATTAATACTGTTTCTCAGTTGTACCAATCCAGCTTTGCTCCTCCTGCCCACAACATGAGCCCCGGGACTATGAGGGATCTCCCCGTGGCATGCCACTCCATCAAGCATCTGTCTTGATTGGGAATTACTTGCCCAGGGTCCCAGACTTTGTGGTGAAGAGTGTACAGGGCAGATGTAGACAAGGAATAGTTCAGTGTACATAAATGGCATGGGTGGTCTACACTTAAACTAGTTGAGCTCTGCAAAGTGGAGAGAAGAATGAGACCTTGCCAGGCACAGTGGTGGATGCCTGTAGTCCCAGCTACTCAGGAGGCTGAGGCTGGAGGATCACTCGAGCCTAGGAGTTCAAACCCAGTCTGGACAACATAGCAAGACCCCATCTTTAAAGAAAAAGAATGAGGACACTGATGTTGTAGCTTCCACATATCTCTACTCCCTTTCCGTCCCCTTTCCCTTCACTTTTTTAATCCAACAAGATCTAACTCTATTTGCCTAACAAGATCTAAACAGTCAGAGACAGACAAAACTCTCCCCAGTTCTCACACCTCAGCTCCTTGAAGGCAGGAGTTTCACGCCCAGAGGGGAAATCAGCAGGAGGGACCAGGCCTGGGAGACTGTCTCAGTTTCCCCTTTCTTTGGAGCAAGGTTGGGGCTACTCTGCAGAGGCATAGACTGCTTTCAGGTAGTTCTCTGTCCCCACCCCATGCTGGAGGAAATGCCCAGCTGCTGCTACAGGTGGAGGACCTGCGGCAGCAGCTGTCCCAGACATTTCTTGTCTTTTTACTGCCCTATCCCTTGTCATCTCTGTGCTCAATGCCCAGAAATATGCCCTTCTGAAAGTGAGATCATGGTGGAGAGACCAGCTGCTTTGGTTGGTCAGTTTCCTAGGGGCAGAGCATGGCAGATGGCAAAGACCTTTAATAAGAGGCTTGGGTGGGGGCAGGGCTGAGGGTGAGTGAGGGTGGGATGTGGGGGGTGGGTAGGGGTGGAATGTGCCTGTGGTGGCTGAGGGCAAGGACTTCCCCGTGGTCACACTCCACACCATGGCCTCTCTGGAGCCCCCTGAAGGCTGGGGAGTCCAGCTGTGAACTAGATTAGACCTCAGAGGAAATCAGACAGATGTGCCTCAGCTGTGTGTGCGTGTGTGTCAGGATCTCCTCCAGGGAGGTGCTGCTGACAGCTGCCGAAGCAGGCCCCTCCCTCTCAGGAGGCAAAGGTGGGCACTCTCCTGGCTTGGGAGTTGAGCGCATGCTGATCCAGAGCCCTGGGCACCAGCAGGTATGGGCAGAAGTGGGGCTGGGTGGGTGCAGCTGCAGTCAAATGACTCCCAGCTCAATGACCCCCAGACGGCCTCTGGTCTTCAGACTGAGTCCCCTCTCCCCACACACCCCCCAGCTCCACGGCACACACAGGCAGTGCTGACGCAGTGGGGGAGGAGATCTCAGACACACGCACCCTCTCCCACCCACAGGCCCGCTTTAGCCTTTCTTCTTAACCAGGGCTCCCAGTCAAGGGCAGGTGGGCACACCGCCCAGATGTCCCTGATGCATCCAGGGGAGCCCTCTCCTGTCCTGTCCTGGTCTGCGGCAGGGAAACTGGAGTGAGGTGAGGCAGGCACACTTGCCTGCTGCAGGGATGATGATAACAAAGCAGTCAAGAAAGAAGGTGGAAGCCATCAGTGTCTGTCAAAAATTTTATTTTTTTCCTTTCACACAGGATGATGTTAAAATAAATCCTCAGTAATATATATTTATATACTTATTTACTTGTGTCAATATTTACAAAAGACTGTGGAGCTCTATGAAGTCTATGTACACCCACGATCAGGTGGACAGGCAATGTTCATTGAGGCACATATGTACACATATATGTATAACCTATGTACAAATATCAGACCCTACTGACACAGGAACTCTCAGCTGCAGAAGTCCTGGGCAGGGCAGTGTTGGTGGGGCTGAAAGCTTCCAGAATATGTCAGCAAGTATGATAATATCAATACATCCTGTGCAATGTAGTTAAGCTGGTGTCTAAATTTTCATGAAGCAAACAAATAGTTAAATGACTCCCAACTCCCATGAGTTTTCCCCACAAGTCTTGCTCCGCCTTCAGCTCCCATTGGTCCCCAGCCTCTCATCACCATGGAGACCCCAGTTCCCTTTCAGCATCATCATTACGAAGCTTTACCATCAGCGTTGGAGTTCCTTCTGCTATTGATCCCAGGGAGGCTTATTTATCTACCTCTTTGAGTTTTCAGCAATTATTAGAGAGAGGACACGGGAGGGCAGCTGCAGAATCATGCACAGGCATCAACGAAGCCAGTGCAAGCCCTGACTAGAGTCTGTGCTGCATGAGCCTAAGTGAGCAGTGGCCATTTCCACTATATATATATATATATTATATAAAATCTCCAGAGACAGCCTATATAAGCACATAAGCACACAGGTCTGGCAAAGGAAACAGCATCTTCCACTCGTGAGCTTTACAGCTATGTCCCTGATGAAAACTAAAAAATCTTCAGATTGCTGGCACCATTAATCTTGACTGTTCCAAGATTACCCTTAGTGGAGAGAGGGGTGCAGGGATGCAGAAAACCAGGAAGAGGCCAATTTGGCTGGGGTATTGTTTGCTCAGCAGGCTAGAGCTCGATCATGGGACTTTCCAGCTTCCTGGGGCCCTTCAAATGAAGGAACCATCCAAGCACGACAACAAAAGGAAACTGGGTCGCTGGATCCCACGTGAAGGCAGAACTGGGGCAAGCACAGAGCATGTTCAAACCCTCAGGAGCTAAGACTCAGCCTCACCAAAGCCAGCCAGGCCTCTCGTCTTGCTTTTCTGTCCCATTTGTTAGCCTAGAGCTGGTTTACTCCTTTCCAGCCCCACCTAGCCGGTCAAAGTCTTTGCCCTACACTTGGTAAGTTAAAAAGGCAGTAATCCTAGCAGCTGACATGTTTGGTAGCAAAGTGAGCCTCTGAATATTCTCATCCTCCCAGCTCCTCCTCTTGCTTTTTCTAGCAGCCCAGAGTGTTTATGCACTCATACAAACAAGGCAGTCAGTGTCTAGGGAATCATTTTCAAGGAGAAGCAGGGCTTAGAGGCCTCTCATGAGGACTGAGAAGAAGCCTGGACTGAGCCCTCTGGATAGCTTCCAAAGGTCCTGCCATCACTGCCCTCAGTGATCTGGACGTTGCAGCAGCTGTCCACGTTATTATGTAATCACACCTGCCCTGTGCATCCATCAGTGGAATGATGCAGGGAGTTCTCAGCTGAAAACTCATCTGGAACAGATCTGACTATTTTAGGCGTGCAGAGGAGCACAAAAAGTCATACCAGTTTCCACGTGGAAGTTCATGCAGCATAAGAAGTAGCCATCCAGCCAGGCTGCCTCAACTGCCCCAGTTTACCATCTGGTCATGCCAAGTCTGGGTTATGGGCTTTTGCTACCTGATCATGACCAGCTTGGCCAGATTGGAGGGCTTCCGGGAGTGTGGGGAGATGGTAGACACCCCTGTACCACCTCAATTGCTCCAGATACCAGTGAGGAATCCCTCCCACCCCCATCTGGAGAGAATGCACACACTCAAATGCAGGAGGTGAGGATGAAAGAGACTATCCCCATGGGTCTAACACACTGGCAGGCAAGAGGGAGAATGAAAGCATGTTTCAGCTCGCACCCAGCTGTTTCTCAAGTGATGTATGCAGCTTACCTCCAAAGAGCAACTGATTTACAGCTGCTCCCACCTTCAACCCAGGCTTGGTAAGAATCAACAACAGAATGGGGTCTTAGTTCCATCGATTGCCACAAACCTCACCTTCCATCTGGCAGAGACGTTATTTAGTTCTTCATTAGAAATTTTACATTCAGATCGCATGAAACTCAAACCCTGGGCACCACCAATGACAAAGAGAATGCTAAATAGATCAGTCCTCTGACACATCTTTAGGCTTTCCACTCTCTCCAAGCTACAAAGTTTGGAAAAACGTTTATGGTCCTCTGTGATGAGGTTACAGCCAACCAGGGCAGTCAGAAGAAAGGCAAACGCACCTGGCCGCTAGATCAGACTTCCCTTTCATCCCTGAGTCAGGCAGCCCCCTGAGGGAGGGAAAGGAAAGAGGTGATCCTGGAGCCCATCCTTTTGTCATGAAAGATCTGCCTTTTGGAAAGGTCCCTAAGCAGAAGGAAAAAAGAGAGGAACCGGGAGAAGTGGAAAGAATGCAAAGGAAGGTCATTTAAAAAATTCAAATATATGCAGTTTATTCCTTGGATTGACAAATTTATTCCACGTGAGTGAAATTAAGGGGATTGGTCAATGTATAATTGTATAATTTTTGAAATAATGTTATACATATATACATATACTATACATATATATACAAACAGATATATGTATATATGGAAAACCTCTAATAATTCAAGATCAATTAACCAAAACCTTGATTGACAAGAATTATGTTTTCCTACTACACTTTCAGTAGAAAGAGGCCAACGACAGCAAGGGCGCTATCTGATAAGCCAGCATGTGCCCTAATGGCCCGTTTCCAGGTCTGTCTTGCGGCCAACAGCCATCCGCCTGTCTCTTTGGTCTTCTCCATCTCCATTTCTGTACAATGAGTACTGAGGTTTAGAATGTTGACCCTGAGCAACGCAAGGTCCTCTGTCATCTTCAAACAGCCTACTTACTAAGGCAGGAAAGTTTATACTAACCTACTTAGGAAATATTTTCTTCAACTACAAAGGTTGAACTACATGTGTTTTCTCATGCCTACTCAAATAACCAGAATCGCAAAGCAACCAGGACATTCCCTTCCCTGAGGTTTCCCTGTCAGTTAACTGAGGTTTTGCTATACACATGTGTATAGAGCAAGGTAGAGCAAAAAGGAATGGAACAGGACCCTAGGGTTGCCAACCTTCCCTGATTATCTGGTCTGAGTATTTAACCCCACAGATGTCCCAGGGAAGGGACTCTTCTGAAGCCCCTGGCTGTGTGTGCAAATATTTGTGCAGCGGCATGCTGTAGCATGTGGTGGAGACTTTATTTCACTAATGTCATGCCCTAACCACCCACTCTTCTATCCCTGTAGGCCGCTACCCAAACCCACAAGAACTTGCTCCCCTCTACAGCTCTTGTGGAGTAGTCCCTTTGGTTGAGCAAGTCAGCTTATTTTGAAGGAGAGTCCGAGGGCACTCCCCAAATCTGCCCAGGCTGCTGATCCCAGGTGCAAACCTCCGGGCCACATTCCCTCAGCATCCAGCTCCCGGGGGAGGAGAGGAAGGGCAGCAAAAGGATCAAGTAATGGCTTTTAGTGCATGGACATGAGCATCTGTAATGGCTCAGCATGTTTATTCTTCTCTATAGGCAAGCGCTTTCTTGCAGGCTTCCGGTACACCCTGCCACACTCATGGAAAGTCGACAAGATGGGCTTTGAGCTGAGTGTGAGTGTGAGTGTGAGCTGGCGTGAGGTCACTCGAGCTCAAGGTTTCAGTGCCTGGAGGTTGTGAGGATGCTGTGCGAGAGCAGCAGAAAGGGGGAGGCTGAGACACACACAGAGACAGAGAGGTGCACGCAGGAAAGAGAGCCGCAAAGCCTCACGGGCCTTCCTTGTGTGTAGGCTGCACCTCTGCGTATGTGTCCAGTCCAGAAGGAGGTCAGGGCTCAGAGGACAGGAGTCACGTGAACACGTGGGAGGAAGAGGGAACTACAGAGACCGTGAACGAACGCCCAGAAGTCAAGGGCATTATGTGATAATCCAGGTGCTATCGCTTTTCAGTCCTGAGAGCAAGGTTTTGAAAGAGCTATTGCTAAAGAAAACAGTCACTATTTATTTTATTGCACTTTTCCTCTTTAAAAATATTCAAACACAAACTATGAGAGATGAAGCTGAGATTTGGTAGGAAGGGGAGTAAAAGGGGCAAAGTGAACAAGATTAGTTTGAGGAAGAGACCCATCCCAGCTTGTAGGGGGTTCCCCACTACCACCTGTCCCCACTTACTGCTTTGAGTGGGGAACAGGGCTGGTCTCAACAAGGGCCAAGTCTAAAGATATAGATGATGGTCACAATTGCTACTGAGACAGCTGCCAGCATCCACCTCTCTGCTGGTTGCCTCAGGTGGCTGATGATGTTAATGAGGCTAAGGTCATAAGTTCAAACCTGCCAGTGGACACCTTGCCAAGGCTGGGGGAACCTCCATTGTGTAACCAAGGAGCACCCTGGACATTACAACCTTCTCAGACCAGGCAGCCATCACCCAGGTACAGGTTGTTATGACAATGGGCCCCAGGAGAGCCCTGGGGAGCAGAGCTCAGCACCATTGTCCCCTCTCCTGGGTAAACAAGTCAAACACTGTGCTCCCTTGCCTGCCACGGGGAGAGGCTAGTGGTGCCACTGCATATGCAATTTGCACACTGTCTACAGTGTCCTGTGGGGGAAGTCACCCTCTACCTCTCCTCTCCATTGCCGTGGGCAGTGCTGAGCCCCCAGCCTGAGGGTCTTCAAGGCATGCTGTCCTCTCTCAACATGGAATATCTCAACTGATACTTTATGGCTGACCATGAGGAAGTACGCTGGCCAAAGGCCTCACTACGATGTAGTGAGAGACCCAGGGACAGCAGATAGAACAAGCTAGTCCTGAAGCTGTCCCCACACAGGTGGCTACATGAACACCCAGGGCTCAGGCCATCACAGCTTTCATGGGTGCCCTTTCCACACAGCCAACGGAGCCTGGAGGCGCACTCCCTTGGGACCCCTTTAAAAGGCTAACCTCCTGGTGACAAGCCAACACCATCCTCAGAAGCCCAGCTGAGAGGGACAGGTGCAAGCAGAGAGGAAGGAAGAGAGCGTGCTGAATATCACTGAAGTTCCAGGAAGCACAGAGCCTTAATTACATTCTTCACTAAATTTTGGCTCCTGAAAAGTTTACTCTGAAATTTGACCAGCTGCGTTACTCTCTCTTCCTGACACCCTCTCTACCTTTCCTGTGCTTCTTCCCCTTCAGCCCCCTAAAAACTCCAACTTTCCTGAAGTGTGAGCCCGTGGGGGCATCTGGTAAAGATGGAGGGAGAATTGGTATCTTCACTGGGAAACAGGAGTCCCCGCGTGTTGCACTAGATGCACGGGTGTGGAATCCACACGCGCACTCCCTGCTGCTGCTGCTGTGTCCTCTGTGGAGACCGGGAGCTGTGACCCTCATCAGGAGTGGGGGTAGGGGGTGGGGGAGACACACCTGGGACGGCCACCTAGCAGAGGCTAGAAGGCCGGATCCAAGGCCTGACTGCAACTCCTAACTTCTATTTCGGGTGAAGCCTTTTGCCAAAGTGCACTCAGCTCTCAGCTAGTCCTAGTGGGAAGAACCACCTCCAAGAGGAAGCCGAAACAGTGGGTAATCTTAGAAGTTAAGTCTGGCCTTAGAATATAGCACAAAAATCAGACCCTCTAAAAACTGTCGTTTGCTTGTTTAGCCTTAGGTGTATGTTCTTAATCACATTTTACCCAAGATGAATTGGGTTGCCGTTTCCTCGAGGCACAGCAATTGGATGGGAGGCAGGGCATCTGGGGGAACCCCAGTTAAGGGGGGGGAGCATGCCTGAAATTGAGCACCCCTAGAGGGGAATCAGGAGTTGACTCCATTGGGCTTATGCCAAGTGAAATGCCACAATCAAGAAAAGGTGGCTCATTTTAAGAGACAAGTCTATACAGGGTGTCGACTTCCTGACCCAGCCCCCAGCAAAGCTGCTTAGGATGGAGGAGCAAGAAGATCTGTGGACTCAGAGAATGTTGGGGGCATCTTCACCCTGGTTCTGGGCCCAGGATCCTGCAGTTTCTTGAGCCATCCCTGCTTTAAAGAGACTAGGGCTGAATCTGGAGATCTTAGTGCTGGAGCGGGGAGACTCTGCTACTGGGCTGTCTGTGTGCACTTTCTTTGAAGGAAAGAGCATGGCAAGGGGGTGTATGTCAAGCTGCCAGATGTCCCAGGTCCTTCCACAACCTACACCCGGGTTTCTGGTGGCAAGAAGATGCATAGGTAGAAACCCCATGAGACTCCTGGTTGTAATCAGAGATCTGCTTGATGTGGTGGCCCGTCCTTCTGCTTAAAACCTCAGGGATTACTTCTCAGGGCTGAAATCTGGAGGTGAGAGAAGAGACTAGAGAAAGAGATTTCTCAAAGGATACTGAAGGATACAGACGCAGGCTAGGGGAAGATGATTAACTCTGGTCTTTTGTTTGTGCCCAGTAATTTATCACTCGAGGGGCAAAGAGATGGATCTGAGTATACATCTGCCTTTCATGTGTAGTGTGTGTGTGTGTGAGTGTGTGTTCTTGGGCATGTGTGCTGTATCTTGTATGCCTAGTATAAGTGAATGCATTGTGCATTATACACTGAATATGTATTTTGTGTGCAGAAACAAAGGTATTTTTTGTGTATTTTGTATGCATATCCATTGTGTCCATGTAGTTTTTGTATATTTTGCATCTGAGTTACAGGTTGTGTATTTGTACATGGTGTATGTTGGTCTTTTGTGTATGTTCTGTGTTGTTAAGTCCATTCTACAGCTGCACTAAGTGTGCATATTTTGTTTATAGTTATAACTATATTTCTATGTCTGTCCTTTAATTTCATCTGTGTGCATTTTGCATGTGTGTATATGTTTTATATTTGTGTGTGGCAACAGTGTGTCGATCTATTTTGTGGTGGATGGGCATGCAGGTGTGCGAACATTTTGAAGTCCTAGGCCAAGGACACTGTGATAAGATTTATCCACCTCCCGACCTAGGCCTAGGTTGCTTTATCTTCTATTTTCCAAAGTCTCTGTCCCTCCCACCCCATGCCTTGGAAATTCAGCACCATCTCCCATGAAGAAGAGGAAGAGAAGCACGGAGGCTTTGTGCTGGGCACGGGATACCCTGCAGACACCTGGGGATGTGGGTGACCAGGAACTAATGAGCACCCTGGGCCTAGCACCCTGAGCTGGTGCCCCACCCCCCAAGACAACTGTAGGTGCTAACTAGGCAGCATTGAGGCCTGGGCTGGAGCCACCACTGGACAGCCTGACCACAGCAGTTCACTGTGTTTGGGAAATTTAAGCCACTATGTCAAAAGGCAAAGAATCCCTGTCTGATGAGGTAAAAGCCCCCCTCCCCCACTGGAACCCATTCCAGGGACAACTTATTCTCTACCTTTAGGCTATGCAGTACCTATTTGCTCTCTACGTATTCTGGGGGTTGGGGGTCAATTCTTTACCCATCCTTTGGTTTTTTTTAATAGCAGCTCTGGTTGCCAGTTTATCAGGGAGAGAGTTTGAGTCTGGCGATCAAAATCATGCTTTTGGATCATATAGGGACTCCATCCCTGGGTCCTGGACTTCAGAAATTTCCACATAGAGGAAGCTCACTTTAAGTCCAGATCAATGGAATTTAGTCTCAAGGAGTCCTACTCCTTGGTGTCCTTAGTTTCAAAGCAGGGCATCCATTCTGGCTCCTTAGGGAAGTTTCACGAAAGTGATAGATGCAGGGCCAAGGGATACTAAAGACAAAATGGGGTGGGAAAAGATGAGGATGGAGATGACTGACAAGACAGACTATAGAGAGGAGGCCTGGGGTGGTCCGGCCCAGGACAGCTGGGACTGTGAGGGCCATGGGGCCCTTGTGCACTCAGTAAGACAAGCTTCAGCCATGGGAAACTGAAGCTGCAGCACATGGAGGGCAGAAAAGACAATTCTAATGTCTAGGAATACATGGAGACTGGAGTGTCTGAGGCAATGGCAGCAAACCCAGGCCCAGTGGGGTTACCAATGAGGCCCATTAGGCCTCTCAGACAGCCAACCCACCAAGCAGTGGATTTGCTCCTGAACCTGAACTCCAAAGAATGAATATATATCTATGCGTGTGTGTGTATGTGTATATATGTACATATGCACACATATGTCTGTATATATATATACACACACACACACTCTAGTGCACATAGTCAAACACATGCATAAATTGCCCTGTGTCAAAAATATTGCATAAGCTTATAAGATGTTCAAATGCAATTTTTTCTATAGCTAGCTAGGTAGAGGAATGCGTGAAAGAGAGATACACGATATACATTTATATACACTGGATCCACAGACCTGATGCCCTGGTCAGCTGTGTAGTCATGCCCATGGCTAGGTTAACTCCTAAGGTGCAGTGTTCAGACGCTGCTTTCTCTGCTCACTCTCCTGGCTCTGTAGAAGTCTGTACTTCCATTTGGAAGAACAGGAATGGGTGGGCTGGGGGGCCAGAAGTTTTGGTTCCATTCCAAATAGTCTGTATTTTTCTCCTGATGGAGGGCTTTTGCCTTCCAATGGGGGAAAAAAACGTAGTTAAATGCCATTCCGAGGCTATTAATACTCTAAATATTAATACTGTGTAGGCTACTAGGAAAATAGGTTATCTCCTGTGTTTTAAATATTGAGATTCATGCAACACACACCCATGCAGCTCTATTGCATCACTGGTAAATTTCACTGCAATGTCAGTGTAGCTGGCCACATTACTAGGAAAGCAGATGTCTGCACACTTCAGTGTAAAAGAAGAAATCCGACATGTTTTTGTGACCCTGAAGCCTGCAAAAGTGGTGAAATCTGAAGCTGAGAGGTCCCTTGGTTTGTTAGCTTCTCCCCATAGGCCTAAGAAAACAAATGTGAAACTTGACAACTCATATTCGATCATACTAACTGTCCCTCCCCCCGGGCTTCCCTCACATCGACACTGCAGAGAAAAAGCAGAATGCAGCATTTTCCGTTATGAAACACAAGCCTCTGGAGCATCTACTTGGCAAGTGCAATTCACAAACCCCAGCCTGTGACACAGAAAGTAATTCCAACACACAGGACTGTGTGTTCTTTTCAATGCAAAAATGGGAATGACCTTTTGAATTATCAGCAGAGCTCTGAAGCTAAGCCATGATTGGTGTTCCTCTGTGAAGGGGCAGGTGGGCTCAAATGGGATGGTGGGATGGAGGAAGGGAGTGCAACTCTGGGGTCTTGCGTGTATTTAATTAGGAAGGAAAGGTGGCACTGACAGGTGGACTGTGTATTGGATATGAGGTGGCCTCAATGTGTCTTTCTGAAATCCTGGCTTGATAGGTGACTCCCATCTTTGGAAACCCATAAGCCGGTGATGAGGATTTGCATGAAAGCCATGATAGATATTCTGTGTTCTAAATCAAAAATCAAAAGGTCAAAAGTCACTTGCACGACTATTGCTTTCCATGCAGAACCAGATACACACTGTAGAACACACTGACTACAATGCAGGCTATTATGCAACATCTGCATTAGTTCCACCGAGCTGTGAGTATGTTAATAGGTTTCAATCAGACATCAGTTAACATTTTGGTAATATTCACATAGTTTGTGTTAGCCAAGGTACAGTTGGCTGTTTTCAAGTTTTCCTCTCTAAAGTCCTCGTTACTGTTGTTTACCCCCTCCTGGATCTCCATGTAATCAGACTTACTAATGGTAGAGGCACTTCTACTTTTCTTTAGGTCAGGGGAGGATGGGATCTTTGGACAGCTTGTCACTTGCAAGTACTGGGCCTGCTCCTCTCCCTCTGTCTCCCGGTGGTAGAAGTAGTTGAAATTGGATACAATGACAGGGACCGGTAAGGCAATGGTTAACACACCTGCAATTGCACACAGGGAACCCACTATCTTTCCCCCAATGGTAGTCGGAACCATATCTCCATAGCCTACAGTTGTCATGGAGACGACTGCCCACCAGAAGGCATCCGGGATGCTGGGGAACTGGGATTCTCGCTCATCAGCCTCTGCAAAATAGACAGCACTAGAGAAAAGGATGACCCCAATGAACAGGAAGAATATCAGGAGGCCCAATTCTCTCATGCTGGCTTTGAGGGTCTGACCTAGAATCTGGAGACCTTTGGAGTGTCTGGACAACTTGAAAATCCTAAAGACTCTTACCAACCGGATGACACGGAGGATGGCCAGTGACATGGCCTGCTGGCCCTGCTGAGCATCCTCTGGCTTCTCAGCCAGCTCTGTCCCCAGGGTGATGAAGTAGGGGATGATGGCCACGATGTCAATGATGTTCATGATGTTGGTGAAGAAGCCAGCTTTGCTGGGACAGGCAAAGAACCTCACCAAGAATTCAAAGGAGAACCAGATGATGCAAAGAGTCTCTACGATGAAAAAGGGGTCGGTGAAGGAAGTGGATTGCTGGTACCCGATGGTGCTGTTGGAATAGGTGTGGAAGGTCACCCCACCACCATGCATGTCTTCGTTCTCATCCCGGAAGATGGGCAACGTTTCCAGACAGAAGCTGACGATTGAGATCAGAATCACCATGACAGATACAATAGCTATAATCCTGGCAGGCCCTGAGCTCTCTGGGTATTCAAAGAGAAGCCACACCTGTCTCTGAAATTCATTTTCGGGCAGAGGACGCTCTTCCTCCTTGATGTAGCCTTCGTCTTCTCGAAACATCTCCATTGCTTCTTCTCCCAGCTCATAAAACCGAATTTCTTCAGAGAATATATCTAAGGGCACGTTCACAGGTCTCCGCAACCGGCCCCCAGACTGATAGTAGTACAATATGGCATCAAAGCTAGGGCGGTTCCGATCAAAAAAGTACTCATTTCGGAGGGGGTCAAAGTACCTCATTCGCTTCTTTGGGTCCCCTAAGAGGGTCTCTGGAAACTGGGCTAAGGTCTTTAGCTGGGTCTCAAACCGCAGCCCCGAGATGTTGATCACCACCCTCTCGCAGCACTCGTGGTCTGCCTCTGGGTCATAGGTGTCCTGCGGGTGCCCAGGGAGGGCAGCAGCCTCGTCCGCTGGGTCTCCGGTGGCCACTGTCATAATTGGGACTGAGAGAAGCGCCTCACGCTACGCCTTCCAGCTGCCTGGCAGCAGGGAGCTCAGGGTGCTGCTAACGGCCCCAGGAAGCACAGAAGCATTGGCCTGGGCGCCTGCAGGAGAGCCCTGAGAGCTCTCTGAGAGCTGGACAGACAGCCTCGCTTGGCTGAAAGACAGAGGCAGTAAAGGACGTGAGACCATTTGGCATTGGCAGCCCAACCTGGGTTGTCACTTTTTGTTTCCCGTCTCTCAGCTGAGTTCAGAAACAGGACTCCCACCAGCACCACCACAAGAAAGCAAAATTCACTTTTGCTTTGTAACTTGTCTGGGGATCAGAGGGCAGCAGGTAGCAATCTCTCTAGGAAGCTCTGAAATGCCCTGCACTGGGGAAGTTGGCTGGCACAGGGCCCTCTGTACCACACAGGGCTCGTGGGGCATAGCCCCATACCAGCAGGTTACAAGGTCGCCCCGGCCCATGCATTGCACTACTGTCTCACAGATATGTGCACCCTGGGAGGAATTCATGGTGGGGGATTTTGGGCCTGGGTCTTCCTCATTGCCTTCCACCCCAGTGACTCTACATAGGCTGTTATTAAATGATAGATTGATTTACCTGGCCAGACAGGAACCTGAAGCTCTCTTCCTTGCAGAGCTGATCGGATGCTGCAGGAATCCTAGATACAAAAACAGGCAGCTCAACCCCCCATCACATCTTCTTACTCGAGCTAGAAATAATGGTGAGTCATTCTGGGCAGGAGGGCAGACTCCAGGTCCTGGAGGTGAGCTCTAGGGCTGGGCTGGGCTGGAGGGGCAGTGGGCTGCCTGGCCAGGGGCATGCGGGACTTGAGGACAGCTGAGCGTGGGTCTGGAGCCTTTGGAAGGAAGAAGGCAAGATGCAAAGCTCAGCAAAACCCGGAGTCCTCCTGGCTGTCCTCAGGAGGTGTGACGTTGCCTGGAAAAAACAGCAGCAAGGTGGAACCAGGGCTTTTGGGCAGCGGGTATCAAGGTTTAGGAGGGTGTTGGCAGCCTCCCTCCCTGGAAGTGACGGGCCCCTTTGCCCACCTTCCATTCTGAGGTTATGCCTGAGAACTACCCCTCAGGCTCCTGGCCTTTTCTGGGCAGGCTTCCCCTCAGCCTGAAGCACTTTCTCCCAGGGAATGAGCTTTAGGCTTGGCTGGGCCTGTCTCCTTCAGGGGCCTCCCTGGGTTGCTCCAGATCCCTAGTCCTCAGCTGCCACCAGGAGGGACTCTGGGCAAAGCAGCTCCCTCTCACAAGGACAGAGCTTAGCTCACTGCAACCTGACTAGAAGCTCTGACCTCAGCGGAGTCTTGGGAGGAGCAGCGCCCTCCCCTTCAGATCTAGGGAGACCCCACACACAAGAAAGTCGCCTCTGTTGGAAAGCTGGATGAACTTACTCTCCCTCCGGGATCCCTGGGCCGCAGGCCTCCCTCTGAGCCGGATGGCATTTGAGCTGGGCAGGCACTCCACCACTGATTTCTCCCCAAGAGAAAATCCCTCACATCTCCTCGGCAGGGAGCGCAGAACAAACGCTCAGCCGGCCTGGCTGCCAGGCAGCTTGGCAGCAGCGAGAGGGGGAGCCTGAAGGAAGCCGGCTTCCGGGCTGGCCCCCTGCCGACCCAATCCTGCCGGCCCCAGGGCGGGGAGGGGTCTGGGCCCTCTCCCCATCGCCCGGCTCCGTCCGGGATTCCGCCGGGCGCGCTCGCCGCTCGGTTCGGCGCTGCGGACCAGACCCTCCAGCTGGCCGCGGCCGCTAGCGCCACCTTAACCCCCTCCTGCCTGGGGCGGTCATCACCCGCTGCCAGCCCGAGCTCAGCCCAGCTCTTCGGCCTCTGGGGTCCAGCCAAGGGACCACCGAGGCTCGGTCTCCACCAGAAAACACCGGAGCCTGAACTCTGGGCGTGGGGAGTAGGCTGCGCCAGGCTGCTGCCCCAGATCTCAGCTTCCTCCTGAGCGCGGAGGCTCCGCGACAACCCACGGCCCCAGGGAAGGGGAAAAGCCCTTCTCTGCAACCACACTGTTTTTCATTCCGTGCAGGAGAGGAGAATGCAGCCCGGCCGTCCCAAGTGATTTGGGTCCTACCAACCAGCGCTATTTACCAGACATGGTTATGCTGTCAGCTGCACTTCCCACCACCCACCAGCTCCTCTCTGCGCCCTCCGCCTCGCGCCGCGCACACCCCAGAGGGTCCCGAGCCCATTCCGTGCACTCTTTTTCCGTAGGGTGCAAGCCCCCCTGGTCCGCCCCGGTTCGGGACCCGCGGGGCAGACCGCAGCGATTGGCACAGGCTAGCCGGCCCCGCACTCAGCCCGAGCCCGCCGCGCTGCAGGCTGCGCCGCCGGGTGCTCCGCAGCTCCTCAGGGCGCTGCAGCCGGGCAGGGGAGGCAGCACGCGCAGCCCGACGCCCCGACACCCATTTACCCTTCCGGATGGGCACCCGGAGCCTCCATGATCCTGGGGTACAGCCAGCGCCGGCAGGACCCGGCAGCGGGCAGCGGCGGCGGCGGGGTGCGGGCGGCCAGCCGGGAGCCGGCTCTGCAGTCCCGCGGGCGGCGCGTACGGAGCGCCCGGCCGCCGCCCGCAGCCGCACCGCGCCGCACCGCGCCACGCAGCGCCGCACCTGGCCCGGCAGCGAACTCGAATTAAAGGGGCCGGCTGGGGCCAGAGCCGGTGCGGTGCACCGCCCGCCGCCGCCGAGCTTGTCACCTAGTTGGTCCCTGGGCCTCAGCCCCCACCCCACGAGGGAAACATTGTTTGGCAGAGCGCAGCTTACTAACCAGAACCTGGTGGAGAGCTCAGCAGGGTGCTGCCGGACCAGAGAGATGGAGGGCTGCGGGTGGGGGGAGAGTTGAGTGCTGTTGAGAGGCTCCTGCCAACATAATGAAGTAGGCAAGGAGGAAATAATCAATAGCACCTATCCCAGGCCCGAGGCAGGATCCAGCCCTGTGGGAGATGTGTTGCTATTATTATGGTGCTGCCAGACAGGGCCTGCAGACCCCCTTCTTGCCCCCTCTCCCTCTGGCGCGCCTCCTCTTCCAGCTCTGCTTCCCATTACCCAGCAAATTTGGCTTCGCGGGAAATGCAGCAAGTGCAGTCCGCGGTGTGGCAGGAACTCTCTGCCGTGTTGGCCTCCACCATGAAGAGCCCTAGGAACAGGCAGAACCGCAGGGCTGGTCCCGTCTTCCTCATTCTCTTGACTCCCCGACCCTCTCCTTCCAGGGCCTGGGGCAGGGAAGGCTGGGGGACCTACTGCCCTAGGGAAGGGCCAGCTACTTCTGAAGTGGACCCTGTTCCAGAACTTAGGAAGCCAGGTGGCCCAGGGGGCTCTGAACTTGGGAGTGCAGCTCACCACTGGAGGTGGGCAGGCAAAGATGCCCTTTGATTATGGGAGAGTGTGTGTGGGAAGCCCAGCCTGCCCCTGCTTAGACAGGGATTGCAGAGGATCCAGGATGCTTTTGGAAGCCACATAACAAGCTAGTTCTTTTAGACAGGTGCTCCAAATAGTGGTTCCTGGAGACTGCAGCCGACGTGAAGCTCTGGATTCAGAGGGGCTGTATGGTGGGAAAGGCTCCTGCTGGACGCTCCCTGCTCCGGCAAGCCTCCCATCTGTGCCTGCACCTCATGGAGGGAGTCCCGAGGGTCCACAAGGTCTGCACTCTGTAGGATTCTGGCATTTTGTTTTGGAAGTCTGTGAGGTGTGATTGAAGCCTGGAGGCTCACCCAGAGCTGCAGGGGGAGGTCTAGGAGGGCGGGGACCTCAGGGAGCTCTGAGGATGACCATGACTATAAGGCAGGGCTGGTTTGGTTTAGGGCCCCTTGAACCTGGGCTGTCAATGCCCAGCTGCAGCATGGCTTGGGTGTTTTGGAGGCAGCCAGACCCAGACTTAAATCCCTGCCAGTTACCAGGTAAGTTGATTCACTTCCTTGGGCATCAGTGTCCTCATCTGAAAAATCAGGGTACCTCTCAGGGTGTGGTGAGGGTTAAATTGTTGACTGTAAAGAGTTTAGTACCCAGCAGACACTCAGCGAATGATGACTTCTCTGCTCTGTTTGCAATGAAACTCTCCTCATGGCTCCCAGCCTCCAGCTGAGCTTTTGGCTGTTTCTGTGCCCAATCACCTGTTCCGTCCCCTCTTCTTCCCTGATTACCCCACTCTTACTTTCCCTGAGGTCTCAGCTGATCCTATCCCTGTCACAAATTATCCACCAGTACCCTACTGTACACTCCTTCCAGAAGCTTCCCCTGACCAGCACCAAGGGGCTGTTTCTCCTACTTGGCACACTGGGTTCTCATGTCAACTAAAGTCCAACAGGCTACTCCATTTGATTGCGTCTGTGTATTTTCTTTGCCTCTCTTTGTTAAAACAGAAGATGTGGACAGAGAAAAGCCCCTGAGGGAGAATTAATAACAGTTGTAATTGGTGAAATGGGCTTACCATGTGTCGGACACTGTGCTAAGCACCTCTAACCCAGTGTGACATTTAATCCTTGCAGCCCTATAAGGTAGTGTCTATGTTAGTGGACATTTCATAGAAAAGGAAACTGAGGCAACTAGAAGCAAAGTAACCTGCCCAAGGTCAGTAAGTGGTGGCTCCAGGCCTTGAGTCAGGTGTTGTGACTCCAGGACGTGTACCCTTACCCCACGCTGCCCTGTGCGGGCAGGATGAGCAGCCCTTGAATTTCATTTCCCTCTTTGGGATCCTCCTCTGACCTCTGTTACTATTTCTTGATTTGGCCTCAAGTATGTTGTCCTTCCTTTCCCTTTTAAAGTCTGACCTAAGCGTGAACAACAATGACAAAGATATTAACTAAAGAAGGGGAAAAAAAGAAGGAACCATAACAACTGTTGTTCAGGGGCATTTCAGGACCCCCACCCTGAAAGTTATCTCTGCTGGTACCTTGTTTTGACAATGCTGTGTAAGAAAAGAACTTCAGGCCCAATTCCCAGCACCAATGCTTGCTAGCTCTGTGAACTTGAGGCAAGTTATTGAAACCCTCTGAGACTCATTTTCCTAATTCATCAAATGGGAGAGCAAAACTACTTCACAGGGTAGTAAGGACCAAATTAGTTATTAAGCGTGCACAGCCATCTGGTTAACTGGTAGGCTAAGCTAGTGCTTAATCACTGTGAGCTCCCTTTCCAGTTCTATAGTGGTCACCATTTCTTATTTTTGGTCACAGAAGAGCAGCTAGAGTGTCCCTTGATCTTTTCACTAGGACAGGGTGAAAACCTCCAAAGGCTATTCCCTTCCCTTTAGGTCTGGTTTCCTGCTTGAGAGCCAGGCCTTGCCTTCAGGAGAGGGAAGGGCTGTAACAATGGCCACAGTGAGTGAGCAGCGACTACAGTCATGTAAAAGAAGAGTTTATGACTGTGTGTGCATGTGTACCATATGCACACAGAGGGATGGGAGGGAGAATCTTTTAGTTCTTTCCACCACCATTTATGAACCTACAAAGAGTACATGAGCTCCCTTCTCAGGTGTCACTCCCAGCTCTCCTTCCTGGCATGAGGCTTCCCCACCAACCCTCCCACCCATGTGGTGGCATAGTCCCTTCTAGCCCACAGGTAGTCAGGGCAGGGGAGCACTGAGATGACAGCCCTCCACAGGTCATTTGATTTAATCCTTGCGACCAGCCAGTAGGAAAGATTTCATCGACTCTGTTTTACAGATGAAGATACTGGAGCTCAGAGAGGACCAGCTGCTAGCTGGTAAGTGGTGAGGCTGGGACTGAACTCAAGATTGTGTGATTCTATAAATCGACAAGCCATTCTTCTGTTGCTCCCATGGTTTCAGGCCTCTGGGTTCAATTCCTGCCCTCAGGAATAGGGATTCCATGCAGCAGACCTCACAGACCCCAGGGCATAGCCACAGGGCCTGTGTGGAGGGGACCCAACCTGACAGGTCTGTTTTAGAAGGGGGTTGGTGTGGTGATTAACTGTTCACACATTAACCGAGGGACTCGAGGCAGTAGCACAAGAGTCAGGACCTAAAGGGGAGTACAAGGCAGAGCACCTAACCAGGGCTTCAGTCTGTGGGACACGAGGTCATCCCCTTGACCTTTCTGTGTAGCAGTTTACTGATACTCTGTGTAGCAGTTACTGATACTCTGCTCTGTTTGCAATGAAACTCTCCTCATGGCTCCCAGCCTCCAGGTGAGCTTTTGACTGTTTCTGTGCCCAATCACCTGTTCCGTCCCCTCTTCTTCCCTGATTGCCCCACTCTTACTTTCCCTGAGGTCTCAGCTGATCCCATCCCTGTCACAAATTATCCACCAGTACCCTGCTGTGCACTCCTTCCAGAAGCTTCCCCTGACCGGCACCAAGGGGCTGTTTCTCCTACTTGGCACACTGGGTTCTCATGTCAACTAAAGTCCAACAGGCTACTCCATTTGATTGTGTCTGTGTATTTTCTTTGCCTCTCTTTGTTAAAACAGAAGATGTGGACAGAGAAAAGCCCCTGAGGGAGAATTAATAACAGTTGTAATTGGTGAAATTACAACTGTTTCATAGGTCTTGAAGAGAGAGGGAGGACGGAAGGAAACTGACATTCATTATTAGTGTGTATTAAAATCTCATTTATTAGGATCCATGAGTATAATACACAAGAACAAGCTTGGAGAAGCAAAAAGTCTGGTTGGTGTGGAAGGATGCACTGTTCATGTCCTTGTTACTGCTGTTGTGGTGTGCCCTGCCAGCGTGCGTCACACCTGACACCTGAGGACTTCCCTTGGAAGTGGAATGGGCATCCATTCCAGCCCCCTCCTGATTGCGGAAGTCGAGGTCAGCCTCCTACAGGAAGCCTTCTCAGATTAACTTCAGCTGCCTCTAAGGGGCTCCTGTGGGGAGGCCCAGGCCTTGGCTCCTGTCTTGAATTAGCTGCTACACATTCATGCCACTATAGTCTTTTTTGCTCCTAGGCCACAAACCTGTACGTGTTACTGTGCTGCATGCTGTAGGCAATCGGACCACAGTGGTAAGTGTCTGTGTGTCTAAACATAGAGAAGGTCCAGTACATATATGGTGTTACAATCTTAAGGGACCACCATTGTATACGTGGTCCGTCATTGACTGAAATGCCATGATGCGGTGCACGACTATGCAGCCGCTGGGACAGCAGGTCTAGGGACTGATCCCAGACCTGCTGTATCTTAGCTCTGTGACTCAGTTTCCTCAGCTGTTCATTTTTGTTGCGTGGCTGGGAAGTAGGACACTTAGAACACCGCCTCTCCCATAGCAAAGGCTAGGCATTGACGATCAGCAGCATCACCCTCAGCATCGCCGCCACTGT